GTTTTTGGATGTGCCTAGGGATTTGATTCTCAGAAGATCCCATTCATCTATTTTGTCTTCTCCTGGTTGTAGTTTTTTCAGGATACTTGGAAGACTTTTTTATGGTGTGGATTAGGACTTCTAGTGTTCTTCCAAGCTTTTCTTTAATGACGCTTATAGTCCTTGGTTTTAGTCCTGGGTCATGATCCACCTTGAGTTGGTTTTTGTATATGGAGTGAGGTGTGGATCTTGCTTGAGTCTTTTGCAGATACTTTTCCAATTTTGCCAACACCATTTGTTAAAAGGGCTGTCGTTTCCCCACTTAACTGATTTCATCTCCTTGTCAAGAATCAGTTGACCATAAATAGATGGGCTCATCTCCGAGTTCTCAGTTCTATTGCATTGATCCATATATCTCTCATTGTACCAGTACCATGCTGTCTTAACGACCACAGCAGTGTAGGAGGATTTGAAATCAGGGAGTGAGATACCTCCTACCTTTCTTCTATTTTTAAGGAGTACTTGGCTTATTCGGGGCTTCTTTTCTTTCCAAATGACACTGGAGATTGCCTTTTCCATCTCCTTGAAAAATGGGATTGGGATTGCGTTAAACATGTAAATTGCTTTTGGTAGTATTGCCATTTTCACAATATTGAGTATTCCATCAGCAAGGGATAGTCTTCCACTTCTCCAGGTTCCTTTTTGTTTCTTGTAGTAATGTTTTGTAATTTTCTTTGAATAGATCCTTTGTGCTTCTGGTTCAGTCTGCAATAATGGTTTTATACAATATTTGTCATTATGGACTAAGTTCACTCAGCATAATGCTCCTGAGTCCCTCCCAAGTTAGGTAGTAATTTATAAAATCATTGCTCCTGTGTGCTGCAGTTTTATATTATGTGGATGTACCATAATTTCTAAGTCCATTTTATTGTGGTTGGACATCTGGGCTGTTTCCATGTTCTTGTGATAGTGAGTAACACTGCTATGAACATTGGAGTACAAGACTCCATTTGTGCCTCAGTTCTTATTTTTTGGGAGTATATTCCAAGCAGTGGAATATCTGCGTCATAGGAATTTCTATGTTCCATTTTTTTTGGAAGCACCAAACTCTGTCCTTCCAGATTGGTTGTACCATTTCACAATCCCAACAATGTATTAAGAGTTCATATCTCACCACATCCTCTTCAGCTTTTATCACTTACTGTCCTTTTAAACTTTGTCACTGCTACTGGAGTGAGATGGTATCTGATTGTGGTTTTGATTTGCATCTCTCTAATTACCAGTGATTTGGAATATTTCATGTGTCTGTTGGCCATTTGAATATCTTCCTCTGTGAAAATTCTTCCGTGTCTTTTGCCCATTTTGTAATTGAGTTACCAGTCTTCCCCCCCCACCCTTCTTTTGTGGAGGCCCAGGAGAATTCTGTAAACATTTGTTATGAGATTCTTATTTGAGATGGTATTGCCAAATGTTTGTTCCCAGTTGGTAGGTTTTCTTTTCATCCTGTTGGGAAAAGTTTTTGATGCGCACAGGGATTTAATCTTTAGAAGGTCCCATCCATCAATTTTATCCTCTTCAGATTGTGCATTTCTGACTGTATTTGGCAGTCTCTTTATACATAGACTAGGCCTTCGAAGATTGGTCCGATTTTGTCCCTTATGAACGTTTTGGTTTTGGGCTTTATTCGCAGGCTTCTTATCCACCTTGAGTTGATTTTTATGTGTGGTGTGAGATGTGGATCTTGTGGTGTGATATATGGCTCTTTTTTTCAGCTTTTTGCAGGTAGCACTCCAATTTTGCCAGCACCATTTATTGAAGAGGTTGTCATTTTGCCATTTGATAGGTTTTATTTTCTTGTCAAATACGAGTTGACCATAGATAGATGGGTTCGTTACTATTATTTTTGATTCATTGGCCCTCAGGTCTTGATTATACATCTTTGATTTGTTGATCTTATTTTGGGGGCATGTTGCAAGGAAGGGGGTATTCCTTGGAGAAGGGCATGATTCTGGGAAGGGTGGAGGAGTAGCAAAGAAGAGGAAAACCTTCAGGGAGGTGGATTGACACAGTGACTCATGCAGTGGGCTCCTGTATATCAGTGTGTAGATGGTGCAGGTAGCACAGGGTTCAGATCTTTTGTTCGTAGGGTCACAGTGAGTCATACTTGACTCAAGGACAGCCAGCAGTAGCAACAGGCAGATGTCTTGAGTTTTGTTTCATTGCTTCAGTTCAAATGTGATACACAACTACCATCATCACTTTGGGTTCAGAATTTTATAGTTTTCCTTAACCATTATTTTTGGAATGAATTTTAATAGGGTCAAGAGTTATGTGTAGAAATACTATGATTACCTGTTTTAAATTGTTACTGCCCCTTGCTGTTGTTATGTACCATTAAGTCATAGCTTACTCTTTAGTGTGTTTTGCACAAGATTACCCATCTTTCTCCCATGGAGTAACTAGTGGATTCAAACCATGTGCCTTTGGGTTGGCATTGCAAATCCTTACCATTAAGCCACTAGAGATTGCTTTATGGTTCCAAGGCTCTTTAGATTTTGATAGCTTGGAAAAGGCCAAAGTCTTGTGAGAACTTATCAAATCTTGGGGCAAAAGGAAAGGAAGAGATTTTGATAGTTTGGGATAAAAATGGTACTTATGCCTAGTAACCTAGTGGTAAGAATCTCTGCTGCAATTCCAAATGCATGATTCAAATCCACCAGCTGTTCCATGGGAGATGGCTGGACAGTCTCCTGTGCAATTTACTGCCTCTGAAAACCATCTGGAGGGTTTGCTATGGGTTGATATTGACTTGATAGTATATAACAACAATCAGTAACAAGTAGATGGTATGATAAGAAGTTCATTTAACAGAGGTGTGGTCATTGTGATATAGTTATACCCACTAAATTTGCTTCTTTTTTATTAGGCTGGGTAGGTGGGGAAGGGGATTCATCTCTGCCATAAATAGTAGTTTCATATACAGTGGTATGTTAAGAAAGATAGCTGACTTTTTTCCAACTTAATTTTAAGTGTTACAACTTTCTTCTTGACAGAAGATAACAGTGTTTCTCTCTGTCTGTACTTGAACATATTCTTAAAAACAACCCACTGCCATCAAGTTAATTCTGACTAAAGCAACCCTCCATCATGTTTCCAATGCTGTAAACCATTATAAGAGAAGACTACCCATTTTTTTCTCTAAGTGTGGCTGGTGGGTTTGAACTACCTGACTTTGGTTAGCAGCCCAAGTTAAATACGGTTCACCACCAGAGGTCTTGTATAATTATATATAAAAGAATATTAATAAATCTGATAAATTCTTTACTTTTAGAAATCTATTAGAAAGGAGACTGGTGCCTTTTTTAGTAGTTGGACTATGGGTTTTTTTTGTGTAATGGTTATGCTTGAATTTCTTCTCTATAAGAAGATAATATCTGCATATTGGTGTAATGTTATGATTATTAATAGTTAAGTAATGCTTTATTATTTTCTTTAATAGGAAACCACCCCTACTTCTAATCCCCTGCCTACAGAAGAAGAGAAAACAGATTCTAATCAGGAGGTTGCTAATCCAGAACACTATATTAAACATCCACTACAGAACAGGTGAGCTTTTTTCTTTACCTCAGCTTGCTCACAGTCTATGCAGTGTCATCCCTTTTGTTGTCTGTATAGTTGGAACCAACCCATAAGTGACCCTCCATTAAGTTTTCAGAGGCATGTAAATTACACAGGAGGAGCTTGCCCATCTTTCTCTCAAGGAGGTGGATTAATACAGGGGCAGAAAAACCTTTTTGGTGTTTCTGCTTTGAAGCATGTATTGGTCATGGTTTGTTTGTATTTCCACTGACTTATAACTGTTTATTCTTCTGTACACATCTACTTTTACCAGTTATTTTACCAGATGCTGGAAACAAATACCAAAGATAGGAAAGATAGGCTGTGTCTTTTAAAATAGCCCACAATAAGATGGGAAAAACTGTTAAATCCATAATGTACTTAAAAATCATCAAAATCACAGAGATAAGGGGGGGGAGAAGATAGAGAGAGAAGGATGCTCACGAGTAGGTGCCAGAGCCTATTTCCTGGAAGAGATAAAGCGTAGGCTACACTCTGAAGGACAGGTTAACGGGCTGCTGCTTTGAAGGACAGGTTAACGGGCTGCTGCAAATGATGGCAAATGTGTTTCTAAGCAAGATCGTCAATTTAAAAAGTGTGCTGCAACCTGTTAACTATTTTGTGAAGAAAAGTATGGAGTGATAAAATACTCTGGTTTAGTACGCATTTGTTTAAGGACCAAATTGTTATGTAGGCTGTTAAGTTGGTTCTGATTTATAGAGACCCAATATGAGTTTCCTAGAACCATAGCTTCCTATGTTGGCCCCATAGAACTTCCTAGACTGGGGAAATACCAGTGGGTCTTTTCTCCTGTAGGTCTGCTGAATGGATTTAGATCCCTGTGTTAGCAGCCCTGCAGTTACCTACTACTCTATCAGAACTCATTTGTAAGGATCTTATAAAAAGCCCACTCTGTTACTGTGAAGTCCGTTCCAACTTCAGGCAATCCTTTAAAACCCAAACTCTACCATCAATTTGATTCCAGCGCATAGCGACCCTATCTGATAGAGTAGAACTGCTGCTCTATGGAGTTTCCAAGGCTGGGAATCATTCTGGAAGGTGTAAAATGCTGACCTTTTAATTAGTAGTGCACTTTAATAATTTTGTCACCAGATATCAGAGGCAGTGCCCAAGTGTTATGACTTTGGCAGTAAGTTTGAAGAGAAAAGTAGGTTGACGATTCCATTTTCAATGAATGACTCATGAGCAGCTAACAGTTGAATGTGAGTTTTAAGCTCAGAAAGGACTGGGGAAGAGATTGGTTTTAAATTCATGAATATATTGATGCTAATCAAGTCAGTTATAATGAATGAGAGTTCTTTTAGGAAGACACAGGCCTGAGGCACCATCATTTAGGAAGTTAATTTATTCCAGTTAAACACTTGCTCCAAGAAAACTTGGAGAGTCATATCTACCTAGAACCTTCTCAGAACTGGCAATCTATTTCTGAAGACTCAGCCATTGAAAACCCAGTAGATCACAGTTGTATTTTCATTAGTCACCTTGAGTGTTAATGAAGTATTGCTATATACTTATTCACAAGTGTGTGTGTTAAGTTACAGATAGGTTTTCTGAATTATTTATCTCTCAATAATTTTAAAAATAAAGATGTAAATGTTGTTGTTGTTGTTTTATGTGCCGTCGAGTCGCTTGCGACTCATAGCAACCCTATGTACAGTAGCCCTAAACTCCGCTCTGTCCTGTGCCAATCGCACTGTCTCCGACACTCCCATCCCAATTATCCCAGTCACTGAATCAATCCACCTCATAGAGGGCCTTCCTCTCCTGCGCCGTCCCTCCACCCTCCCAAAAACAAAGATGTAAATAGTCTTTTAAAAATTTAATCTATCATTTTAAAAATGGGGTAGTATACTATGTACAAAGATTCCTGGTGGTGTAGTAGTCTGAAAGGCTGGCAGAATTTGCCAGTCACTCTGTACCCACAGAGTGAATTGCTCTGCAGGAGAAAGATGAAAACTCACTGGAGGTGGGTTGTTTTCCAGCTCAACTGTGCACAGTAATAACTGTGGAAGAAAGCAGGAACAGTCATTTACAGCCTTGGAAATCTTATGGAGGATTGCCAGGCTTTGGAATTACCTCATTGACAATGGAGCTTTTACTTTTTAGAAGTTTTCTTAATTTTTTAAATTACTGTTATCTTTTGTGTGTACCGTCACATCAGATCTGACTGGTACAGGAGGATATTGCCCCTCCTTCTCCAGCAGAGCATCTGGTGGATTGGAACTGCTTACCTTTGGGATTGCAGTGCAGAGAGGTTTTTAAATTTTATTATGAAATACATTCTTCTAAGACTATTGGATTTTGTCCAGTACTTTCAGAAATACTTTCCGTTATCTTTTTGATTATATAATAATTCACTTGCATGGATATACTGTTTAAATCAGCAATTCTCAACTTTTTTTATCTCATAACCTCTTTATACTGTTAAAATTATTAAGGACTTCTGAGAATTATATGGATTTTATCTATTACTGTTTATTATGGTAATGTCAGTATTTTTGAAAAAAATGACTTACTCATTCAATTTTATGATTCATTGCATGCTTATTAAATACTACTGATCTTCCAGCAGATTTCCAAGACTTTAAATTACATGAAGGAGACTGCTTATCTTTCTTTAGGAGAGCAACTGTTAGATTCAAACAAGTTCTAGGCTTATTAATAGAAGTCAGTTGGATTTGGGATTTCTGAGCTCCCACTGCAGTTCATGGTGATGATACCTTGTGTGGAATATAAGGAGGAAATCTGACGTCATATAAATAAGCAGTTGGAAAATGTGGAGAATTTTTAATTGTCTTTAAAATTAATCATGACTGTTGTTTCTTAAAGGATTAGTTGCATCATGGATCTAGAAGTTTATCCAAAGCCTTTTCTACTTGTTATATTAAAATTTACTGGCCTATAGTATATTTGGAATGTTGTTTTTACTCTTAACATCATTTTGTAATATACATTGGTCATTAGGAAAATGCTGGTTTAATGAATATGTAGATCTTTCAGTTGTTGAAATACATCATCAAACAATAGCAAAAAAAATAAGTTATTAGTATTGTTGATGAACTCAGATGTCTTTAACTATTGTTATACTTGTGATGTTATATGTAAGCTTTTCAACATTGTCATTTTATCTTTATATTGGTAAACTTCATTTTTCTTGAAAAATAAGTCTTGGATTGTCACTCTTAAATAAAAATGAGCAATGAAAAAGGTGACTAAGTCCCTTTTAAACTCAGCTACTTAAATATTGTGTATTGATTTTCAGTAGAAATACTTTTCATGCAGAATATGAAAAAGCATTTATATATTACGATTGAAAATGGATGGCATTAATAATTTTACTTGTGGAAACATAGTCCCATGTGACTTACAGCCAGAAGGAGATTGCCCATCCTTCTGCAGAGCAGCTGATAAAATTCGAACCACAGCTTCTTACCAATAGGCCATCAGAGCTCTTACTGATTTGCATTGGAAATATTTTTCATGCAGAAGATGAAAAAAGCACGATTCAAATTAATGACACTAATAATTTTAGTTTGGGGGGAAGATCCCTGTGATTTACAGTCTCTGAAAACCCACTAAAGGGTCTAATAAATGAGTAAATTCCTACCCCACAGCAGTCATTTTACTGCTCAACAAGGGCATTTGTAAGTGACATTAATATTACTATGAAAGTAACTGATGATAAAGGATATGGTGGTGTCCCTTCCTTGGTTTTGGTGTTTTTTAAATTTTTTTTATTTTTGAAGCACCAACTGATTTAACTGCCATTACTTTTACCACTAGTGTGAATGTCAGAAATGTAAAAAAGCCTTTGAAAAATGTCTATATGAATAATAATTTTCTAAATAATTGACCTTTCTTTGCTTTATACAATATAGTAAAATTATTGACAAATATAGAAGTTATCACATAGATATTGCAGTGCATTTCCTTAGCTCTAATAGGAATGAACATTATCACATTTATAAAATATATGTCCATTTGGGGACTTCTTCAAACATACTTTTAACTTTAGGAAAATGACATTTCATATTGATCTATCTTTATTATGAAGAAGAGTTAAATTCTAGTAAAGATGCCTTAGGGTGACAACATTTATCTTAATGTGACTGTACTACTGTATAGGGAGCTCTGGTGTCTAGAAGGAGAAAGGTAGGCAACCTCTTCCCTTCCAAGAATCACATTCAATAGTTTCATCCTTTTAGCATTTACATCTCTTAGTTTTACTCAGCTTGTTTATTTCTTACACTTACCAATTTAAGTGCCTATGTTTTTCTTTCTTAAATAAATTCTCTTAGATTGTCATTATCACAGCCTGTAATTGTTCTGTTTGGACAATAGCTTCTTGACCTAGGGTAGGTATAAGTTTCATATGAGGGAAGTTAAGTGTTCTGTACTACCCAGTTGTACTAGTAGTATCCATAACATGTTGTGATCCACGCTAATACTTTTCATATCAGTAAAACAAATTCGCTTTTCCTGGTTTCTGTGTAAATCTGTTACACAGTAGATAGAAAATATGTACTTTTCAAATGAAAGAGAATTACTCATTATTTGCCACTGTAAAAAAAAAGTTTCATAAATCATCATATTTTGACACCTACTTTTTCCCCCCTTCCAGATGGGCGCTCTGGTTTTTTAAAAATGATAAAAGCAAAACTTGGCAAGCAAACCTTCGGCTCATTTCTAAGTTTGATACTGTTGAAGATTTTTGGGCGTAAGTAACCATTTATTTTGGGATATTTGTTTTATTGCACATGTCATTTTCCCTTGTCATGGGAGCTCTGGTGGCTCAGTGGGTGAAGACTTGCACTGCTACTTCATAGGTAGTAACCAATCCACCAGTGACTCCTTGGGAGAAAGATAAGCAGTCTCCTCCTGGGGATATGAATCCACCAGAGTCTTCTTGGGAGAAAGACAGGCAGTCTCCTCCTGTGTTGTTTACAACCTCTGAAAACCTGCTGGAGGGTCAGCTTTGAATCAGTTTTTACTTGAAGACAGTGAGTTGGAGTTTTTTCACTTACCTGTCATTTAAACAGCATTTACTAAACAAGGGTAGTAGTGACTAGGTAATGAATTTTTTTCTACCTTTTTGTTGTCGTTATTTCTCTCCTCACAAACTTTTTGAATTGGTGATTATTTTTCACCTGTTTTAGAATCCATCTTGTCAGTCCTCTTAACGTTCATTCAGTTTCCTCTGTTCTTTGTCTCTTAAGATAGACTTCCACCTCTTATTTATCTGCTTGCCAAGTGCTAGTTTGCATGTTTCTATGGTGCTAGAAAATTAAAAATTAAAATTATCCACTGATAATTTAAAATGACAGCAGAGTCATCCATGATGGACACATTTCAGCAGAACGTGCAGATTAAGAGTCATGGAAGAGGATTTGATAATCTATTTAAGAAAAAAAATTAACCCATAAACATCTGTAAATACTAAAACATTATAAAATACAACCCTGCATATATTCCACCTGAATTTCAAGACCATCTCAAGAATAAATTTGATGTATTAAACTTTAATGACTAGGAATTATTTGTAAAGAAAGCAGATGGTCATTAAGAAACCAGGATAACATTTAAAATACCAAAATGGATATTAGAAGAGACTCTGGAATTTGTTTTGGAAAATATAAAGTGAAAAGAAGAAAAGGTAAAGTAAGAGTAAAAATTTCAGAAAAAGGCTCAGAAACTAAAATATTGTAATGAAAGCCCATGCAGCTGAAATAATTGAAGAAAAAAAATTAAAACTTATACTAGGAAAGTATGCTGTGGGCAACATATTGAATAACAAAGGAAATGATAAAGTACAGACTACACAGTGTCAGTATAGGAAAAAAAATAATTGGTTGACAGTCAGTAGATTTAGGAGGTAACAGGGAGAATTCTAGGTCACACTGAAGACTTTGACTAAAAACAAGGCTCCAGGTATTTAAATCTATTAATAGTACTAAAACCACATACAATAAAGGTGTTTCAACAAAAATTTGCAATGCTGAAAGTACTCAATTGTCTAAGAAATGGCCAATTATTGGCAAATTTATTCAGGATGTTGTTACGTGTCATCGAATTGAGTACAACTCAGTTGAACCTATAAACAAAAGATCTGAATCCTGTTCTGTCCTGTGTCATCCTTAACACTTTGCAACACCCAAGAGCCTCTTGCAGCAGTCACTGTGTCAGTCTTCCTGGTTAAGGGTCTTACTCTCCTCCACCGAACTTCCACCCCTCCGAGTGTTATTTCCCTTTCCAAGGAACAGCCCCCCTCCTAGCAACATGCCCAAAGTATTGTGAGACAAAGTCTCATTCTTAACTCCAACAAGCACTCTGACTGCATCCTCTCCAAGACATATTTGTACTCTTGACTGTCTATGGGATGTTCAGTGCTCTTCCAACACCACAGCTCAAAAGCATCAGTTCTTCTGTCATCCTTATTCATTATCCAGCTCTTAGAAGCATAGCAAGTGACCAGAAAGACCATGGCGTGAATCAGATGCACTTTAGTCCGCAAACTGACATCATTACTTCTTAATAATTCAGAGAGGTCTCTAACTGCAAATTTTCCCAGTGCAATGCATATCTTTATTTCCTGACTGCTGGTACCAAGGGTGTGAATTGTGGATCCAAGCAAGATGAAGCTATTGACCGTTTCAGTCTCCTTTCCATCCATCATGATGCTGCTTATCTGTCCAGTGATAAGAATCTTTGTTTTCTTGACATCAAGATGCAATCCATACTGAAGGCTGTATTCCTTGATCAAAGGATACTTGTACCCATATTAAAGAGAAGTTTATCCAAGAGAATGTGCATTGTTGATATATTTAATACCATACAGGATCCTTAATATGTTAGAATCCCCACTACATTTGTGGATTTGGGGTTTTATCATTAATATCATACACAAAATTTAATGTGTGATATAAAAAACCATTTCAGTAATACATTGATAGGAAATTGCTAAAAAAATTAAGCTGGATACAGAATATATTATTACTGATGTCAAATATATCTTATCTGAAAGCAAAGAATACTAGAAAGATGTTTACCTTTGTTTTATTGTCTCCTCAAGTGCATTCAACTGTGTGGATGATATGAAATTAGGAATAATACTAAGAAGAATGGGAATCCCAGAATACCTAAATTAGGAATAACACTGAGACGAATGGGAATCCCAGAATACCTAATAGTACCCATGTGAAACCTAGGCATAGACCAAGAAGCAATTGTCTGAACAGAACATAGAAATACTGCATAGTCAGAATCAGGAAAAATATGCATCAGGATTATGTCCATTCTCTGTAGTTAATCATTCTGAATAATGAGCAAATAATTGAAGAAGCTGGACTTACTATGAAGAAGAAAGTGATGTCAGGATTGGAGGAAGACAAATTTATTCTGAAGTACCAGTGGAACGCTCCTTAGAAGTAAGGATAATAAAACTTCTTTTCACATACTTTTGGGTCTGTTACCAGAAAGGACCAGTTCCTGGAAAAGGACATTATGCTTAGAAAAGAAGAGGTTTAGGGAAAATGAAGACTTTGAAGAAGGTGGGCTCAAATAAAATAGCGATTGTGAGGCTAGTGCAAGATTGAGTAGTGCTTTGCTGTAGCAGAGCCTACTTGAGTCATGTGTCAGCTGCCACCAGATAATCTATTTTCAGAAATTTTTATAGCCTAAGAACTTTTGAAAAATGGGTGGAGCTTACCTTTCTGGTTGGTTGGGTTCACTGGGTTTTCTGGAACCTTATTTCAGCCTCATTTGTGCACTCTGCAACTAGGGAAACAATACATTTTACTGTGCCAGAATTCTAAAACACTAATGGTTAAAATTATTAACATCAAATGGTTACAATGAAAATGACAATATCCGGGACCTTAATTTATTCTTATACCTTATATCAATTTAAGGAAGGATAGTTAAAATAGTTTTGAGATACCATGTGAGATTTCACTAAAATATGAGACTGCAGTGTTTTTTTTTAAGAAAGTTTTAGAATATTTTTTTTTTTAAATTTAGGTTGTTTATTTGAAAGTTTTAGAATATTGACTCCATAAACTAAGTTATGTCTTAATTCTTTGACCTGTTTACGGAAAGTAATATCTAAGAACATGAAAGACAAAACTTGTTAAGAAAACATTTTAAGAGCTTTAAATTGCGTAGCCATTACCTATGTATTCTAATTTTTTCATGTAGTTTATATTAGAAACATGTATTTGCTGACTCAGTGATGCAATTTTTAATGCTTCGATGCACTCCTTATTACATGCCCATACAAAAGAAATAAATGCATTGTGCTAAGAAAATACATAGATGGACACTTTCTCAAGGACAATAACTATATTTTTCTGCTATCTCTAATGCTTGTTTGATAGTTGTTAGTGTATACCGTAGTTGTAGCCGACCCACAGTGACCCACCAGTGGGTTTTCAGAGGCAGTTAATTGCACAGGAGGAGATTGCCCATTCTTTTCTCACAGAGCAGCTGGTGGATTTGAACTGCATGCCTGTAGGATTGCAGTGCAGCTTCTTGCCACCAGTGCTTTTTAATCCTTAAACAAATTAAAGCATAAAGTAGAGAAATTTATGTGTAAATTATAAGCTAACCATCTTAAGTGTAGCTGTTATTTGAAGTGTTGGCTTTTTTCCTTTCTAAAATAATAGAACTTCATTTAGACCACTTTAATTCACTGGCCAAATTAAATTTGGATTATTACTTTGCTCTTCACAAAACATTGTTTTTCCTTTCTAATTTATGTCTATTTAAGAGGCTTCAAAAACATAAAAACACTCTCTAGTCTTTTGTGGAGGATGAGAAAGAGTCTTGAAGCAATTTTCCTCTCTGAAGTGGATCTGTATTTATTTTGTTGATTTACTGATATGGAGGAATTTTTTACTTTTAAAAAAATAATTAAATCATTTCTTAATTTCTCATGGCATTCTTGAAAATTAGTGGCAAGCACTTACCTAGAAGACTTTGCCTACAAGGCTTTCAGTGATAGATGGAGAGGAGTGACTTACTAGAATAACTCATCATTTGATTTTAGGCTCACAGACAGAATTTGTGTTATCCTGTAAGCTATAGTCTAAATGATGCTAAATCTTTTTCCTGAGTTTCTAAAAAAATATTTATAGATTTTTAAATGCTCTCACCAATGATAGAATCATCCATTGTATGCAAAAGTTATTTCTGCCATCTAGGATTGAAGATAAGCAAAACCTTCTTAACCTGTGCTGATTTTAAGATAGGATTGCTGTACGACAAAGGAAAGCAAATGATTGAATCTTCTGCTTTCAATCTAGTGAATATCCAAGTCATGTCAAATGCATCTCTGATATATTGATAGTTGGGAAAGAGTTTAAAAACACACTTTTACTTGGTTGTATCTCCTATATAGTAAGGAAGTAAAATCTCAGAGGGTGGAGCTTCTACTTACACTTTGTTATTATTTTGTGGGATTGTCTTTTTTGAAAGCTCCCCAAGTGCTTGTCTTTTTTGAAAGCTCCCCAAGTGCTTATATTGTGCTAATGGGCTATTAATAGTGTTTCTTATTTGAGAAACATTGTCTGATTGTGTATCTTGAGATAACATCCCATCCAAGAAAAAGAATGTTTATTTATTTTAGTCAGCCCATATTGTCCATGTTTGTTTTGTTTTAATCTTACTTGATGTCTTTGTGTATCTGTACAAACAATAGTGCTTATTAGCCTCATGAAATTTTTTCGCCTACTTGAAGTTACTTCATGCTTTATATATACATGTGTATATGTGCATACATATACATATGTAGTAATTTAACTAATTACATTAAAAATACTGTGTCAGGTTAATTTCATTAAAAGCTTGTTTTTTTTAAAATAATGCATAGTCTCTGAAATTACTTCAACTATTAAGATTTCTCTTGTCCATTTTGAAATTGATTTAGTATAAAAAGTAAACGTAACTTTATCTTTTTTTTTTTAATCATGTTCTCAAAATGTATATGTAAGCATTGAAACTCTGTAGTATATGTTCTGTATTTATAATTGTTTCTTTTTCTTTTACCTAGTCTGTACAACCATATCCAGTTGTCTAGTAATTTAATGCCTGGCTGTGACTACTCACTTTTTAAGGTATGCTTAATTGGTGTATACTAGAGAACTGAATCATTCCAAGTATTTAAGAAATCTTGCTACATTCTTAAGAAATTAATCCTCCTAGGAATGGGTTTTAACTAGTATTTAAAATATTTTGCCATCTTTATTTAGAGTATAAGTAGGAGTTAGATGAAAATCTTAATTGTGTGAGTCCAGTACTGTGTTTGATTTTAAGAGCTCTGATTATTCAGTTCAGTTCTCTATTTAGTTCAGAAGACTGATTGACACAGTTCAGGAGACTGAAGTTCAGAGTTTGTCAGAGATTTTTAACTTGAAGTGCAGGGGTCTTTGAGAAATTTAGAAATTAGCTTTGCCTTGTGTGGGAGGATGGTGATATTCATCAACTCTCAAATTGCACAGTTTTGCATGTGTTTTTCTGGATTTGGATTAAAGAGTGTACCACTCACTTTAGAAACATCACTTGTGTAAAGTTGGTTGGTATCCATGCTGACTCCTTGCATTTCAGAGTAGAGCTGTGCTGGGGGATTTTTGGGAGTAGATTGCCAGGTTTTCTTCCAAGACACTTCTGGATAAACTTGAAACTGCAGTCTTTTGATTAGCACTTGTTTGTATCATCATAATAGCTTTGTAACAGTTCTCATAGTTTTCTATTACTCAAAAAGTATTTAAAAACTTTGAAACACAAGGTTAGTAACTAGTAACTGACAAAGCTAGAACTCTTAAATCTGCAAACTTACATTTTTGCCTTTAAGTTCTGGGTGCTACACCCCACCACCCCCTCCATTACTTCAGTTTTATGGGCAGTGGAGTAAAATGTTAACAGACTTGTTATATACGTTTTCTAATGAGTATCTGTCAAAGGCCAAGTAATAATATTGTCTAGTATTGTTCTCTTCTGATTTTATAGGATGGTATTGAGCCCATGTGGGAAGATGAGAAAAATAAACGAGGAGGACGATGGCTAATTACTTTGAACAAACAGCAGAGACGAAGTGACCTCGATCGCTTTTGGCTAGAGACGGTAGGTTTTTAAAAAATATATATATTATTTTAAGAGACAGTTTTGGAATACTGAAACTGAAGTGATACTACAAGTTCTTTGTTACTTAACAGAACAATCATTCCATTCATGATCTTAGTAAAAAAAAAAAAGACTGAGGAAGAATGTGATAGTCACTTCAGGAAAAATAACCTGTTTGTTTTTTTTGTTGTTGTCCTATCATGTGAATTCTATATATTTTGTGTACTAATTTAGTCAGCCTCCTCTCATCACTAGCCCGACTAGGCATCAAATCAGATACCAAATTATTGACAGTTGCCTCATTAGTTATTTTGTTAATCTAACAAAACTTCACTGATGAAATAAATGAAATTGTTACTTGATGTTATTCAACTTATATGTTGTTACATAGTTTGGAATTAAGTTATATTTTTGTTTGTTGTTGTTATGTGCCATCCATTCGCTTGCGACTCAACTCGCAGCGACCCTATGTACAACAGCCCTAAACCCTGCTCTGTCCTGTGCCAGTCACACTGCCTCTGACACAACCATCCTGGTTACCCCAGTCACTAAATCAATCCACCTCATAGAGGGCTTTCCCCTTCTCTGTCCCTCCACCTTCCCAAGCATGATATCCCTCTCCAAGGACCTCCTTACAACATGTCCAGAGTATGTCAGACGAAGCCTCAGAATCCTTGCCTCCAAGGAACAGCCTGGTTTAACCCTCTCTAGGATGAATCTATTTGTTTTCTTGGCAGTCCAGGGTACATTCAATACTCTTCTCCAGCATCACAGCTCAAAGGCATGAATTCTCCTTCTGTCCTCTTTAGTCATTGTCCAACTCTCTGATGCATAACAAGTGATTGCAAAGACCATAGCCTATATCAGGCACCTTAGTCTACAAAGTGCCACCATTGCTCTTCAGTACCCTGGAGAGGTCCCTAACAGCAGACTTTCCCATCGCAATATGTTTTTTGATTTCCTGGCTACTGGTGCCAAGGGTGTTGTCTGGAGCCAAGCAGACTAAAGTTGTCAACAATCTCAATCTCTTCACCATCCATTCTGATGCTGCCAATTGGTCCAGTGGTGAGAATCTTTGTCTTCTTAATATTTAACATTGAGCTTCAATCCGTACTGAAGGCTGCAGTCCTTGACCCTCTGCAGCAAGTATTTCAGTTTAAACAATAGATAATGGACACTTTCTATAGACAGATTCTAAATTGCAGGCTTTTAGGGACAGGATTCATTCTCCATTCTTTGTATTTCCAGCACGTGGCACAGTTGATAGGTGGTGTTTAATATTATTTGATTAATGATTTTTTTTTTTAAGATAAGAGGGTATTTTGTTGGAATTGGCTATTGTCAATAAACGACATTGAAATTTTATATTTGAAAGAACAAAATCAAATAGAATTTGTATAATTTAAAATTTAGTTTAAAAAGTATGGGAGAAATACAACAGCTAAATGGGATAAGCTCAAATTACAACAATCAGTGAACAATGAAGAAGAATTAAAAAGAATAGGGGAAAAATCTTATTTCTAATTTTGAATATTTGAGAAACATTTACATGGTATAATCCATTAACTGTAATTTGGCTTTTTTTTTTAAAGCTGCTGTGCCTTATTGGAGAATCTTTTGATGACTACAGTGATGATGTATGTGGAGCTGTTGTTAATGTTAGAGCTAAAGGTGATAAAATAGCAATATGGACTACTGAATGTGAAAACAGAGATGCTGTTACGCATATAGGGTAAGTTTTATCATTTGCTTACTTTTAGTACTAAGATAACTAAAAATAAACCATTATAAAAAAAACCCCTTGTGTTGTTTTGTGCATACTTTCATTTCTAAAAAATTGCTCTCTGACATGTAATAGTTTATTAATTTACAGAGAGTATGTTTCTTCTTTGGAGTTGGTGACACTAGTATACAATGCTCATTTTAGGAAGCTCTGGTTGTATAGTCCATGGGGAATTGGGTTTCTAACTAAGGGGTGTGGCCTCTGGTTCAAATCCATCAGTGGTTCCTAGGGAATAAGGTGAACAGTCTGTTCCTGTGTGATTTACAGTTTCCCAAAACTGACTGGATGGTCACGTGTGAGTCAGTTCTGATTCAGCAGCAGTAGTTTGAGGAAAGTGGCTAATGGTATATTTTGTGAGTGCATATCCAGGCTTTTAAATTGAAGTAATAAGTGCATTTTGCCTTTTCTGTATGTAAATGCTGAGTTGTACATAAGTGATTCCATTTTTCCAAAATGTGTATAGATGGTTTTTTTGGTAGTTGTTATTTATTTTTTCCCCCCCAAGAAAAAGGTTACCTGTTGTGTGTTATCTTTAGTGCCCCTTTGATATTAGTATTTTTTTACTCCCTTAATATTCATGTTAACTAAGATTTTCATTTTAAATTACTGAAATTACTTCAAATTTTGTTTTACTGTTGTTAGAAGACAAAATGTTTGATTTACCCGTTTGCAACTTTTTCCCCCTAAACATTATGAATTCTTCATATCAACATGATTTTCTCTGTAATTAGGAAAATTTTCCATGATTTGTTTACATACATTTCTGTTAAAAAGGGAATTATACCTTCTCTTTCACTTATTGATGATCTCATCATACAGAATTTCACATTTGTGAGAGTAATTTTTTTTTTTAAAAAAACCCAAACTGCCAGTTTTAAAAAGTAAATAACTACTTTTCTTTTCTTCCAGGAGGGTATACAAGGAAAGGTTAGGACTTCCTCCAAAGATAGCAATTGGTTATCAGTCCCATGCAGACACAGCTACTAAGAGCGGCTCCACCACTAAAAATAGGTTTGTTGTTTAAGAAGACACCTTCAGAGTATTCTCATAGGAGACTGCGTCAAGCAATCGAGATTTGGGAGCTGAACCAAAGCCTCTTCAAAAGCAGAGTGGACTGCATTTAAATTTGATTTCCATCTAAATGTTGCTAAGATATAAGAGAAGTCTCATTCGCCTTTGTCTTGTACTTCTGTGTTCATTTTTTTCCCCCCTCCATTTTTTGGCTAGAGTATCCAGTATCCCAATCAAAGAATTACAGTATACATTGTCCCCAGAATACATAAATATGTTCCTAAACCCACTCTGTAATAGCTTAGTAGAATTCACATTATAAAACATTTACCCATCCATCCATAATATTCAAAACAGAACCTGTATTTCTGTATCTTCCAGGAAAAACAAAATGTTTATGTATCATTATATACAGAAGCATATTTTGCTGGTTTGAAAGAGTATGATGCATACCATTTTCTAGCATTTTTCTTTGTTTCTTTTTTACAGCATTGTTTTTTGCTGTATTCTTGCTGATGGCTGCTAGATTTTAATTTATTTGTTTCCCTACTTAATAACATTAGTGATTCTGATTTTGGTTTTTCATTTTGCTTTGCTCCCTCCCTTTTATGTAACATTGGTGAAGGATCCAGGAATATGACACAAAGGTGGAATAAACATTAATTTTGTGCATTCTTTGGTAATTATGTTTCTTTTTTTGTAACCACAAAGCTTTGCTATAAATTGATGCATTTCATTCAAATCAGTGATCTATGTTTGTGTGATTTCCTAAACATAATTGTGGATTTTAAAAATGTAACATCATAATTACATTCCTAACTAGAATTAGTATGTCTGTTTTTGTATCTTTATGCTGTATTTTAACACTTTGTATTACTTAGGTTATTTTGCTTTGGTTAAAATGGCTCAATAGAAAAGCGGTCCCATTCATATTAAGACAGTGTACAAAACTGTAAATAAAATGTGTACAGTGAATTGTCTTTTAGACAACTAGATTTGTCCTTTTATTTCTCCATCTCTATACAAGGAATTTGTACTTCTTATTGCAAGGCAGTCTCTGTTGTGTCTTCTCTTGTAGTACTTCCATGTGAATGAATATCACAAGTTTGGAGCACTAGTTTGATTATTATGTTTATTAAAATTTTTAATAAATTCAATAGGTAGCATCATATATATGGAATTAAATTGATGTGGCTATCTTTGTTTTTTTATAAATTAAGGTACAGTCCTTCAGCTTTGAGTAAAAATTCTATTACTCCTAACCTCATAAAATAAGCATCAGTCTCTTAGTATATCACCATTTGATTGGCAGGAACAGTCATTGTAAAACTTGATGAAATGATAGGTTCTTACATGTGTCAAAATGATATAGAAATAATGTAGTTGGTTGGAGCATATGAACTAAGTATTTTTTTTTGTTAGTGTTGCTGTCTAATAGAATGGGATAAACGGGTATGAAGACATACTGGTAAATTAGTGTAGTATAGTTTTTTTGTGAAAACTTGACCTTTGTAGACATGTGAAAGCATACTTTAAGAAGTTTACCTATAATAATACATACAGATCCTGTGAAATGAAAAATGGGTAGTATATGCTCATGAGTAAGCAGAATGATAGGGAGCAGAATGAAATCATTAGTTGAGGAAAACTTGTTTTTAAGTAGTAATGATTTTAAATTGGTAAATGACATTCTGTATAATATATATATATTAATATTAATAACCCTGCTTTTATTGCGGAATAGTAAAACAGACTAAAGGGTGCCAAAGGCTACCATCTGATAGTGTCAATGCCACAAAAACTTACTGCTTGGTATTTTAGAAATACTGACTTTTTTGTGTTTATAATCTCAGTATAATGTACGTAATGTCTGCTCTCTAAACTTGAATAATCAATTACTGATATGTTTTTGGTAGTGGTGTATAATTGTGAGGAACTTCAAGTTTGCTTAAAAGTGAATGTGATGGTCAGCATAGGACATGGGTGGAACTAAAGTATACTCCATTTTAACAAGCATTATCTTTTGGGACAGAGGAAAATTATTAAGCATGTACTATTTTAAAATGAAAAACAAAAGTTACATAGAATCACAAATGTATTTAAGCCTTTTTCTTAGGAAATGAGAGAGAATAATAGATTATCCTGTGTCACTTTTAGCAGTTATTACTTGTGTATTGATTGCAGTATTAGTACCTTTTCTTAAAAAATAAATTTAGGCTTTGTTTTGATTTTTTTTTTTTTTTAAATACCTCCTTCCCTCTTCTGTCCCAACAGGATATTGTGGATAAATATATTTTCATAACAGAATTGAAGTCACTTCAAATGGATAAATAACAGAGAGGAATATATTTAATCCATTTTGTTGTTTTATCTCAATTCTTCAAAAAAGATTTGAAGATTACATAATAATGAAATAATTATAATACTTTTGTAGTGCTAATTCTGTGCCAGGCAGTGTGGTAAGCACTTTACATGCATATTTTCCCTTTGAAAATAGGGGCTGTTTACCTCATTTAACAGATGAAGAAACAGCAGTATTGACAGTTAAGTAATTGTACAGGTTGTCAGCGGCAAACTGGATTTGAATCTGGAAATTCAGTTTTAGAAACCTTAAACTACATCAGTTTGTTTCTGATGAGCTATAGTAAATCAGATCAGGTTGCAGTCAGTTAATTAAAAAAGTTACCTGGTTGATTCCTTTTGTCTGTATAGCTCTTTATAAGTGGAGATTTATTTAGACTCTGTTATCAGCCATTTAGTCTTTTAGAGAATTGTGAGATGTGTAGGCAAGGGAAAAGAAGTCACAGAAGTAGAGGTTAGTATCTATATCCTAAGTTATCTTCTAAAAGAAACAAAGAAGAATTTTTAAGATGGTAGTTGAGATTCTTACTGGCTTAAATTGGATTTTAGAAGGATAAATTTAGTAAGACATTGTGACAATGAAATGTTTACATTTTGAAATTAAAACATTAATGATAAGTGCTACTTTTTTGTCTCAATTGTTTCTATGTATTATTTTCACTCTGGAATGAGTTTGGGGGAAATACTATTTTTTTTTTTTAAATCAGTCTCTTTAGATTGACTTTAAAAAATAAAACTGGATATGTGTTTGACAGAATAGTAGTTTAGCAGTTATAGTTGTTTTCTTAACATAGTTTGAGAAGCACTATTTTCTGTTGCCTTGAAAACTGGCTTCTCTCCAGCAATTCCTAGTTATCTGTCCATTCCTTATCTCTGCAATCAAGTGGATTTGGTATCAGAACTTATTCTGTAGCTCCTTCTGGTAATAAATATTTTATTTTTATTAATTCAAAAGTAAACACTAAGCAGTCCTAGTGCATTGCCCGGGATCTCTGGTGGCTAAATAGAAAGGAGTCGTGTTGCCAACCCAGTGGCAGGTGGCTCTAAACCACCAGCTGCTCCATGGGAGAAAGATGGCCCATCTCCTCCACTTGATTTACACCCTTTAAAAACCTGCTGGAGGATCAGGGTGTTTCCAACTCAATGGCGCATGACAGTGCCTTGGCTCTTCCTATAATAGTCTTACTAGTTTTTTTTTTTACTGACACAAGCAAAACAGAAAATTGCAGTCTGTAGCTTTTTCTCTTAGAATTTATGATTTCTTATAGTTGGCACATAAATCACAACCCTCTCTTGTCTATGAATATGCAAGTATGGAATATTTCTTTCCTCTGTAGTTGGTGCTGTGCATATAGTGGACAACAAAGTGGACTTGGCCTCTGTTCTAAAGAAGGTAACTTTTTAAAAAAACCCACTTGTAACTATCCCTGTCCCTCAATAAACTTCATTTGCTTTTATTTAAAACAGTAAGTCTACTCATTGCTACCAGGCCAATTCTGGTTTACCAATCTTCTAGGATGGTGTAGAGATGCCTCACACAATTGTTGAGCCAGTAAATCTATAGGGAGACTACCTCATCGATAACAGCAGTTTATAATCATATTTAGTTAAAATAACTGCATATGAAATCCCCTGATATTTAAGCCTGTATCTAGAATTGGTATGAATGACAACTACAGATTGTATTTTATTCTCCTAATAAGGTGACTATATTATGTGAAATGGTGAACAATACTCAGTAAAGTTCATAACAAAAAGTGTAATTTCAGTTTATACATTGTATTTCAGGGGAAACTTAATGTAATAAAATATGGAGGAGAAAATACATTTTGGTAAATGGGTAAAAAGGCTTTTAGATTCAGTTTCACTATTAGGTTGTGCTTGCTTTTTTTTTTTTTTTCCCCCTTTTTTTTAAAAAAATATTTTTCTGGTATGTAGCCTTAGGTGGAGTTTACCACCTCCTTTGGGCTACATTCCCAAACAACTCTAAGACCCGACCCAGTGTGCTGGGAGGCGCTACTGGCCTCATACCGTCCATGGGCTGGACCTCCATAAGAAGGATTCCCCCCCCCCCCCGCAAGTGCTGGGAAGGGGGTCTTCTATATCACACATTTCCTGTGCCCCACTGTGGCATATTTCAAAAAGCATATTTGAATGCCCTTGGGACATCAATTCTTAGATGTGTAGGTGAGATATGTGCATTTTTTTGTTATCTCTAATAGGAGGACATCATGCTTGGGAAGGTGGAGGCACAGCGCAGAAGGGGAACACCCTCTATGAGCTGGATTGATTCAGTGACTGGGGTAATTGGGATGGGAGTGTCAGAGACAGTGTGATTGGCACAGGACAGCAGAGTTTAGGGCTGTTATACATAGGGTCGCTGTGAGTCGCAAGCGACTCGACAGCACTCAACAACAACAATAAATGCTAGAAACATCCCACCAGTAGTTACAACAAAAAGCCCCATAAATTTCCAGAGCCTTTTCCGTGGAGTGGTCCTATATGCACGCTGTGAACTCAGCATTGTTTAAATATCAAGTGTGCGCATACCTCTTTAGACTCCCTCTGATTCATTGTGCCTGGAGCCAGTCCTTTAACTGAATTTCTAATAAATTCCCAGTAGATAGAAATGATTTTTTGTGATCCATTGTAGCACATTATGAAAATTGATGCTGTGTTTTTTATCTTTGCTGTCTAAAATGATAGCTACTGCCTTTGAATTGTGTTGGTGAACAATACTGATTACACTGTCAAATGCCGAGAAGCAAGTCTAACTTGGAAGAAGAGCAGAATGCTTCACTGAATGAGGAAAACCCTCAATGAGATGGGTTAACATAGTGACTGCAACAGTGAGTTTTAAACAGAAGGAACCTGAAGGCAATGGGTTTGGCTACTGTTGTGGTAGTGTGAGGTGCCATCAAGTCAACCACAATCTTGCTGTTGTTGCTGTTATGTGCTGTCAAGTCGCAGATGACTCATAGCGACCCTATGAACACTGCTCATAGAGTTTCCGGAGGCAAGCCATTTTGGAAGTGGATGCCACTCCTGTTTCCAGGCTTGTTTTAATTGGGAAGCTCCAGCAAACACTGTCCACCATGGGTAACCATTATCACATTTGACATATCAGTGTCACAGTGTTCAGCATCACAGCAACCATGAGTTACCTCTGTACAGCAATGCACAGACCAGTGCTATACCACCTGGAAGTTGCTGTGGGAGGCCGACTCCATCGACTCTCCACCGCAATCTTACGAACAATAAATATGAACCTTGCCCTGCTTTATGCCATCCTCATGACTTCTGATATGCT